TAAGAAGGCAGTAGGATACCATAAGATCCATGTCTTTGCTAATTTGGTTGATAGTTGTAGGATTTATGAGGAAGATAATAATGCTCATTACAAGATTATTAGTGAGAAGAGGGGTAAGCACCCGCAGAGTCGTGGTAAACCTTATGATGCCCCAGCTGGTAAGGGTAAGCAGAAAGTTTCTCATGGTCAGAGGACTAGTAGGGGAGATGCTCCTGCTGGTGTGATTTGCTTTAAGTGTGGGAAACCTGGACACAAGAGTAATTGTGCACTACGGAAGTGAAGGGATGTTACCGTTGTGGTAAGAACGGACATGTTGTATCTGAGTGTGAGCACAAGAATATGGTTTGTTTCAACTGTAAAGAAGAAGGGCATATTGGTAGCCAGTGTCTGAAACTGAAGAAGGCTTAGTCAAGTGGTAAAGTGTTTGCTTTGGTTGAGGATCAGACAGCTGCTGAGGACGGACTTATTAGAGGTACATGTTTCATTAATAATACTCCTTTAATTACTATTATTGATACTGGTGCTACGCATTGTTTTATTGCTGCTGATTGTGTTGAAAGATTGGGTCTTGTGTTATCTTCTTTGGATGGAGAAATGGTCGTCGATACTCCAGCCAAGGGGCCGGTGACTACTTCTTTTGTGTGTGCTAAGTGTCCCTTGTCGATCTTCGACAAAGACTTTGTTGTTGATTTGATTTGTTTGCCGTTAAGAGGTTTGGATGTGATTCTGGGTATGAACTGGTTAGAGAATAATTGCATTCATATTAACTATTATGACAAGTCGGTGAAGTTTTCTACTCCTGAAGAAGAGGAAGACGGTTTGTTGTCTGCTAGACAGTTGAGGAAGTTGATGCAAGAGGAAGTACAAATGTTTTTGTTTATGGCGTCGCTATCTGTAGAGACTCAAGCTATAATTAAGAAATTGCAGGTGGTGTGTGAATTTCATGAAGTTTTCCCTGATGAGATTCCTGATGTACCGCCAGAGAGGAAAGTCGAATTTGCAATTGATCTTGTACCTGGTACCAGACCTGTGTCTATGGAACCATACAGGATGTCTGCATCTGAATTGTCAGAGTTGAAGAAGCAATTGGAAGAGTTACTTGAGAAGAGGTTTGTAAGACCCAGTGTATCACCATGGGGTGCTCTAGTGTTGTTAGTAAAGAAGAAAGATGGAAGTATGAGGCTATGTGTTGATTATAGACAGTTGAACAAGGTGACGATTAAGAACAAGTATCCGCTTCCAAGAATAGATGACTTGATGGACCAATTAATGGATGCTCGTGTGTTTAGTAAGATTGATTTGAGGTCGGGTTACCATCAGATTAAAGTAAAGGATGAAGATATTCAGAAGACGGCTTTCAGAACGCGTTATGGACATTATGAGTATTCGGTGATGCCTTTTGGTGTTACTAATGCACCGTGAGTATTCATGGAATATATGAATCGTATCTTTCATACTTATTTGGATCGGTTTGTAGTAGTGTTCATCGATGATATTTTGATTTACTCTAAGTCAGAAGAAGAGCATGCTGAACATTTAAGAATAATATTGCAAGTTTTGAAAGAGAAGAAGTTGTATGCAAAGTTGTCCAAGTGTGAATTTTGGTTGAAAGAGGTTAGTTTTCTTGGTCATGTGATTTTAGGTAGTGGCATTACTGTAGATCCATCGAAGGTTGATGCTGTGTTACAGTGGGAAACTCCAAAGTCAGCTACTGAGATTAGAAGCTTCTTGGGATTAGCTGGTTATTATAGAAGGTTTATTGAAGGGTTTTCTAAGTTGTCACTTTCGTTGACTAAGTTGACTTGTAAAGGTAGAGCATTTGTTTGGGATATTCAGTGCGAAGAAAGTTTTCGGAATTGAAGAAGAGGTTGACGTCGACTCCGATTTTGACGTTGCCTAATCCAGGAGAGCCTTTTATGGTGTATTGTGATGCTTCTAAGATGGGTTTAGGGGGTGTGCTTATGCAGAATGGTAAGGTAGTTGCTTATGCGTCGAGGCAGATAAGGACTCATGAGAAGAACTATCCTACGCATGATTTAGAACTTGCTGCAGTTGTTTTTGTGTTGAAAATTTGGAGGCATTATCTTTATGGTTCTAGATTTGAAGTGTTTAGTGACCATAAGAGCTTAAAGTATTTATTTGATCAGAAAGAGTTGAATATGAGGCAACGAAGATGGTTAGAATTGTTAAAGGATTATGATTTCGGTTTGAATTATCATCCAGGAAAGGCGAATGTGGTAATGGTGGGGTTCTGGTTTTATAATTGGGTTCATGATGTTTGATATGTGGGGTTAGATGTAATTGTTATTTGTTCTTGAATTGGATGTGTTTTGAATGATGTATGGCGAATATCGATGAATTATTGATGAATAATGATGTTAATATGTTGTTTAATCGATGGAGTAATAGAGTATAATGTTAAGTGATGAATTATCATGATCATAATAAGGTTTTTAGGGCTGTAGTATGATTCCCGTAGTAAAATTACAGAGGGAAAACGCAGAACTTATGCAGAAGGTATTAGTATGTGTCGACCTCAAGCTGGATGAGTCGATACATGGGTGAGGTTAGACTCAGGATGAGTCGATGCATACAGGGCTTGCGTCGATACATGTTAGTTGCAAGAGTCAGGATGAGTCGACTAGTGAGATGCATGTGTCGATACATGTTGTGTTTTGAAGTCAGGATGAGTCGATCCATAGAGTTTTGTGTTGACCCATGATGTAAAGGAGAAGCAGGACGAGTCGATTCATAGAGTTTTGTGTCGACCCATACTGACTAATTTTGACAGATTCAGTTTTTAAATTGCTATAACTTGAGTTTTAGGATGCTGTTTGAGATGACGTTCGAAGCGTTGATTAGCTAACGCGATGAACTCTATTATAGAGGATTAAAATGATGAATAATAAGTATAATCCTAGTAACTAATTTAGAATTTAGGATTAATTCCCGTGATTGAACGTTGTACTGATTTTGGGACAGAATGATGAACATGAGATATTTAGAGGTTGCTGTTAGGATTATGACAGTAGGATTAGTGACAGTAACGATATAAATTAGCAGAATAACAGGATGACTTATTGTACTATTAATATACAGTTGAGAATTAGTGAGATGTTATTGATGAAGTTGTGTTCGATGGTTTTGTGATAATAAATGATGTTTAATAAATTATTTTGATGTTATGAGAGGTTGTTAATTGAGATGTTTTGAGATGATTGAGATGTTGTTATTACATTCATGATGAGTCGCATACATTTCATTTTTTAGATGGGGCTTATGCTCGTTGAGATGGCCTGAATTGACAAATTTTGAGATGAAGGCTATGCCTTGGTGATGCCTCTATTAATTGGCAGATTTTTGAGATGGGAGTTCTGCTCCAATGGTACCACATGCATTTGCATAGTTTTGAGTCGCATTATATGAATGAATAATGAAATGTATTTGATGTTGATGAATGAGTACATATGTTGTAATTGTTGTTGATTATGAGATGAGAAGTTGTGATATTATTGATCTAATTTAATATATTAATTATCATGCGCTTTATTATATTGTTAGATATCTCACCCCTTCTGTTTGAATGTTGCCCCTATATTGGTAACGTGCAGGTAATCGATAGTGAATGTCGTATACCTTCAATAGATCGAGTCAGTGTCATTGCTCTGATATGTAATACTCGGGGGGATGAACGCTTGTTGATTTTTTATTGCTGATTTTTAGTTGTTGGACTTTAAATTGTTTATTTACTAAATATGAGATGTTTCGAAGTTGCTGTTTATTTTAAAGATGTTATTGAAGAATTCCGCTGCGTAGTTGTTGAATTATTTAATGAAAGATGTTATGTTGATGGTTCATCCGATGTTTTGAAAACGTGTTATATATCCATGATGAATGCAATGAATTTGTTAGAAGAATTTGTGACGTCCCGATTCATTTGTATGATTGAAATTTTGTAATTCTGATTTAATTGCATAATTGCTTGGGGTAGAATTGAGGTGTTACATTTAGTATATGGAGAATCAAAGACGGATGTGTGGTTTGTTCACGACAGTGGAGTTAATGGATCGCTTGTTTGTTTAATGTGAAGTTATATTCTTGATTTAGTATAAGGTGTTAAGGTGGATGAGGATGCTCTTCCAACTCCCTTGCTCAATTTTAGGGGTGTTATAGGTTTTCCAAGAGTTTAGTCAGGGTAGAAAATATCTGGTAGGTCAACTATCGATCTAACGCTCATTTGTCTGAGTTATTTAGAAATTACATACTAAATTCATTTTTGTTAAGAAAGTTTGTCGATTGATCACTAGGTGCACTCGATAATTGACTTGGGCGTGGAAGTGAGTTTATTTGCATGCTATGGTTTCAGTCCTTTTCATTTTAGATTAGAAGCGAGTTTAGAGAAATGTTGGTGGCTAATTGCCTCTCTTTGTTTCCTACGAGGGGTCGAGCTTATCTCTTTTCAACTTTTATCTTCTAGTGGTGTGCTGTTTTAGTTGCTCAGGAGGTAGTTGTGTTTTCTTCCTTCCAACATTTGCTTTCTTGTTCTGTGGGATTTTTGGTCTGAGTAGGCCTGCTTTCTTTTTGGATTGCAGTTGTATGTTGTTGTTTATGTTTTCCTTCGCTCTTTGTTTTTTTCTAGCGACTTTGTTGTTTACAGAGACCACTTTTGCTTTTGTTGTATCATGTAGTCTTTGTTCATTTTCTTTTTATTATATTGATCTGTTTTGCTATTAAGCAGGTATCAAGCAACTAGTCTATGATCTTCAATCTCACCGTCTTAAAATTTTCACTAAAAAAACTATGATTGAAAGATTATAACCATTCCAACACTCACATAAAAGGAAAATATTAGTTAGTTTATTATGTTTTACTAACATAAAATTTACAAAGCTCTATGAACCTTAAGCTACTACATATATTTTCAAAAACAACTAACTACAATAACAAGACAAATTAAAAACAAAAACATTAGCTATGATAGTTTAACCTTCACCTTGAATTTAATTAGGACCCCAACAACTCAAGTACATGACAGTTCTAAGTGATTCCTCTGCTCTCTTAAACCTATCAGCAGCAGCATCAAGATTAGCACCACCACCACCTTGATGAAACACATTTTCAGAAACATGACCAACAACACAGTTCTTTGATTTGGAGGAAAAGTGTTGTGTTCTTGAGCAGCCTTTGTAAGAACTAAGGATGTTTTTTCTTTTTGATCCATCTTTGATTCCTTCCTCCATGGTTAGAAAATATGTATCTCACCTCATATCAGTTCCACTTTATAACTTTTCTAACTTCACAATTATGTTAGTTCACTCGTTAACTTTTTGGATATAGTGGTAGAAGCTAAATACAGATTAGATTTGAGATAAGATAGATTAAAGAAAACAACTTGCTTTAAGAGAGAGAAAGATTTCAACTACTCAGGCATTTAAAGTGAGGTATTGCCATGTATTATATACAGAAATAGAAATGATTAGCCTAATTTTTTAGTTTAGACTTTAGAGACATTATAAAAAATTGTTTAATTTTAATAAACTGCAATTGATCATGTTGGCATATTATTATAAGACAGAATAATTTAAAAATAGCCTTCATGATTAAGCTCTTTAATTTTCAATGATGAATAAGAGAGGAGGACTTATTAGTATTAGATATGGACATATTTGTCGGAACAATAATGAGCCAATGTTCTATGATCATAAGAGAAAGACACTAACATGTTATATATATTTTTAATACCTTAAATATATGAATCATTCTCTAGTATTTAATATTTAATTTTTTCATTATCAATATAGAATTATCAAACACCTTTGAACCGAGTACCTATAACATAATTTCAACATAGTTTTTGAGAGATTAAATATTGTTGAATATTCTTAATCATTTATTATTTTATTATGTCTATTTTTCTCTCTATAATAAATAATTTGGGTATTATTTTTTTACTCAATTTTAGGAATTATTAACAAATCAAAATACATATTATATTCAAATTTTAAAACAAAAAATAAATAAAACAATTAAAAATGAGTAATTTAATAATTCTATTATAATAAATAAATTTCATTTAATATTAAAATTAATAACATTAATTATTTTTTAAATGACACACAACTTAAATGAGATACTCTCTTCCTCTTAAACTATAATTTTTCTATGACATTTCGCACCAATTAAAATTATAATTAATTTATAAGAAAAATATTATTATAAAAAATTATGTTTTATTAATGATATGAAAAAATAATAAAATAAAAGAATAATAATAAATAGTAGATTGTTTAAAAAGAAAAATATTATTATGTTATTAATTAAAGTTGTTAATTCTCCTAAAAAAAAATTAGAAACAAAATTAAAGTTAATTTAGTAATTATTAATATTAATTAATTAATTTATTATTTATTTATTTATTATTAACTAAAATCACTCATTTCTATAATTTAAAGATTTATTTTTTATTTTGTTTATTATTAACTAAAATCATCCACTTCCATAATTTAAAGATTGTTTTATTTATTAATTTTTTAAAATTATGACGAACTTATTTATTTATTTATTAAAATTGTGGATTTGAAAGACCATCATTTTAATTTTTCAAAATTTAAGTATTTTTTATCATCAGATATTTAAGATATTTCTCAATCATATTATCTTATTATTGTTAATATTTTATAATTTATCTTTATTTTTCGTTTTTATTTTCTTTTATTTTTAATTTTTTGGTTATCGGATAATTAGATTATATTTTTTAAGATATAAATTTGTTGTAAAAGAAGAATTGGTGAATTATTAATTAAAGTTGTTAAGTTTTTAAGAAATTTTTTAGAAACAAACTAAGGATAATTAGGTTATGTTTTTTTAGATATAAATTTATTGGAAAAAAAATTGACGAAAAAAAGAGAATTGAAATAATTGTGTGAGTGATATTATGGTAACTATATTGTATACTTTCTTAATTTTTAGATTTTTATATTCTTATATTCTCAATTATATTATCATTTAATTTAAATAATAATAATATTTTAATTGTATTTTTAGTTGATTTTAAAATATACAAATTTAATTATAATGACCAAACTTAAGTTTAATTAATTATAGTACTCTTAGTTTTGATTATGTATTTTTAAATATAAATTTTGACGCTTCAAATGTATTTTTTATGAAAAAAATATTATTGAAAAAGTTAAATTGTGAAAAAGAGTGGTTTAAAAATCTTTTTTTATTTATTATTTTTATTATTCTTATTTTTTTTACAGTTTAAAATTATAATATTTTTATTAGTGTTTTAATCTCAAATAAAAATAAAAATTAATCAAATATCAGACTCAATTATTAATATGTACAATAAATTATAATATTAGATTTCAAAATTTTAAGGATCTAATTTTATTATTACATAAAAAAATTTTAAAAAAACATATAACATCAAAAATATAAATTTGAGACCGCCATACAAATAATATTTTAAAAGTATTATAGTTTAAATATTTAATTGATGAATTTAAGATAAAATATATTACTTATAAATTATTTATTTAATTTATTAATTATTTTTATAAGATTTTCACTTGAAATTGTCTGATCATAAGAATGATTTGATACTTTTAACTTTTATTAACTTTAATATTTTAAATGTAATAATTAAATCATCATCATTTTTTATTAAAATAAATTATTTAATTCAATTTAAAAATATATTTTTAATATATAATAACTATAAATAATAATTTAATAGAATTTATCGTCCAAACGTCTTGTTTAATTTATATTGCAAAATAACTTAAAGTCTAAAACAAAAAATATTTAAAAAAAGGAGTAACTTATAATTTAAACAGACGTCTTGTTTAATTTATATTGCAAAATAACTTAAAGTCTAAAACAAAATATTTTTACAAAAGAGGAGTAACTTATAATTTAAAATGGAAATAGCAATTTTTATGAGATACTAGAATGAATTTCTAGTAAGCAGTAGTATATTGGAAGTTAATAAAAATAATTACCTGTCGTTAGTGTTGTTTCAGAATTTCATGCAGTCCCTAAGGCACGTGGTCCAACACGCTACCTACTGAGTGATGATATTATTATTATGCCCTTTTCTCTATCTGAATAAGATCATTGCAGTTTGTTCTTATCCATTCCAAACCATGCTAGCTACTATATTACATCTAATCAAATCAAATAACTCTTCCTTCTTACTTTATGGACTTCAGACTTTTTTTTTTGGGCTTAAAAATCCTCAATTGTATTTAACTATTCATATTTTTTGTGAATATATTTTAAAAAATAACTAGTACAATATAGTACACCATATTTGATAGAGTTACTTGTTAATTGTTTGTCAGTTTGCTTAATAAATCCTAGTATTTAGGAGGACCTATTCTTTAGGAGTTTAGTTAGTGTTTTGATTATTTCCACTGCATTATAGGGCTGTTAGATGCAGTTGCTATTTATTCTCTCAGTCACGTTGTATTGAATATATATAGCCTCAGTTTGCTATCATTGAATAATATCTCCTTTCCAATTGCTATAATAGTTTCTGAGTTTTAACAATTGGTATCAGAGCTCTGTAAAGGGACTGGTTGTGTGAAAAGGTGTGAGTGAAACAGAAAGAGAGAGAGAGAGAGAGAGCAGAATGTCAACATCAGAGAGGTTCCTGCAACCCTCCATCCCAAAATTCGATGGCCATTACGATTTTTGGGCGATGACGATGGAGAACTTTCTGAGAAGTAAGGAGATGTGGAGTCTGGTGGATGAAGGAATACCGGCACCGGCAATTGGGACGTCATCAGCAAATGAGGCACAGAGGAAGATGGTGGAGGAAGCCAAACTCAAAGATTTGAAGGTCAAAAACTATCTATTCCAGGCAATAGATAGACAAATTCTAGAGACAATTCTCGACAAAGGGACGTCGAAGGCAATCTGGAATTCAATGAAGCAGAAGTATCAAGGATCCACTAAGGTGAAAAGGGCTCAACTTCAGGCACTAAGAAGAGAGTTTGAACTTCTCGCCATGAAAGAAGGAGAAAAGGTAGACAGTTACCTGGGTCGAACCTTGTCTACAGTAAACAAAATGAAGTCGAATGGCGAGACAATAGAGCAGAGTACAGTGGTCAGTAAGGTACTTAGATCTTTGACTCCTAAATTCAATTATGTTGTTTGTTCAATAGAGGAGTCAAATGATTTAAGTACGTTAAGCATCAACGAATTGCACGGGAGTCTGTTGGTTCAAGAACAGAGGATGCAGGGCTATCATGAGGAGGAACATTTGTTGAAAGTGGCTCATGAAGACAGAGCAGGTAGGGGAAGAGGTCGAGGCGCATTCAGAGGAGGGCGCGGTCGAGGTAGAGGTAGATAACCTCTAAGCAAAGCAACCATTGAGTGTTTCAAATGTCATAAGTTGGGACACTTTCAATATGAATGTCCTGATTGGGAAAAGAAAGCAAATTATGCCGAGTTAGAAGAAGAAGAAGAGGAGCTTTTGTTGATGTCATATGTAGAGCATCATGAAACAAAGAGGGACAAGGTGTGGTTCCTCGACTCAGGATGCAGTAATCACATGACCGGGAATAGAGAATGGTTCCTTGATCTGGAAGAAGAGTTTAGCCGAACAGTAAAACTCGGGAATGACACAAAAATGGCAGTGGCTGGAAAAGGAAGCATAAGAGTGGAAGTGAATGGCATAACCCAGGTGATCTCTGATGTTTACTATATTCCTGAGCTTAAAAATAATTTATTAAGCTTGGGACAACTTCAAGAGAAGGGAATAGCAATCTTGATTCAAAATGGGACTTGCAAAGTGTTTCACCCTAAGAGAGGTTTGATTATGCAAAGTGATATGAGTGGGAACAGAATGTTCTTTGTGTTAGCCTCCATGGAAACAAAGAGCTCTATGTGCTTAAAGACTGAAGAAGTAGCTGAAAAAGAAGCTCACATATGGCACTGCCGGTTTGGGCACTTGAACCACAAGGGATTGAGAATGTTGTCTATCAACAAGATGGTAATTGGTTTACCTTTGCTGAAAAATCCAGAGAAGATATGCACCACATGTTTGTCTGGCAAGCAACATAGAGAGCCCATACCCAAGAAAAGCTTATGGAGGGCATCAAAACCGCTTCAGCTAATCCATTCAGATATATGTGGTCCTATCACGCCAACTTCTAGCAGCAACAAGAGATACATTTTAAGTTTTATCGATGACTTTACTCGTAAAACTTGGGTCTATTTCTTGCATGAA